CAAATGTCCAAATCTAATACAAATAGCATTTTGAGCAGTAAATTGGTTGTCCTGACATTTTCAACCAGACACGGGCAGATTTACACGTGTGCATTTATTTCCTGTCTCTTTGTTTCTGTTCGACTCAAGGTATCGTAGTTTTCAACATACACATTTTTCCATATGTTGTTATGTACATAAAGACCCCCAAATAAAGACTGTAAGTAAACTACATTATTATAAGCAAATTCCTCCCTCACTGAGAGCAAAACACTCGACTAGATCACGACTCTTTGCTGTCCTTGCTCCTAAATGGTGGAACGAGCTCTCTGAAGACACCAGGACCACAGAGAGCCTTCACATCTTCCGCCGCAAACTAAAGACACACAAGCTCTTCAGACTCTACCTCGACTAAAACACTAACAAACTGTAGCACTTAAATTGTACTTATAACAGCACTCATCTATAACAAGTTGTAAATTGGCTTACTTGATGAAATTTTACTCTCTTTTTTCTTGCTCTTCTGAGTTTGTATCCTAATGGTTGAAATGAATTGAGCACTGTGAAAACTCTACAAGCGGTCACACAAAATCAATCACACAAAATATCAAAAGTGGTAACGGAGAACATTTTGTCACTTTGGTCGAGCAACCATTTCAAATATGTGAAAACAACACGTGGTTCTACATGAAGGAAGTGGGCAGAAAGTCGTGGTGTTGGAGCTTCAGAGCAGCTCACCGAAGCAGAAACAACATAATTAGCGGCGTGTTTAGCTCCATCACAGCCGCTGCACTCTGTTAACGCCTACACATTCCCCATCCTCTGCCTAATTACTCGCGCCTCATCACGTAGAGGCTTATTGATTTAAACAACATAATTGGGGGCTGCAGCATAACCTTAACAATGATGTGGAACGGGCTGTTTTCCTGATCCATCATCGGCCATTCGATCGCTTTGAGGTCCTAGATGTGTGAGATCAGCAGTGCTTCTTAGATATTCCAATGATTTCCCCTTCTAATTGCTTCTGCCTTTCCTTTCCTGTTCTGCCGCTGCGTTTCCCCCCACAACAAACTCACAAAATGTGCTCTTAAATGGAAATGTTTCTTCTGACACGCATTCAGAAAATGAAAGTAGACACAGTCTCAAGAGGCCCGTGAAGAGGATGACATATGTGAATTAGAGCAACTGAGGGAGCAAACAGGTCTCCCATATGTTTACATTCCCACAACTGAACTTCGTTCTGAATGCAACCAGGGGAAAAACAAATTCTCACAGATTATGGTTTTTGTTTAAACACGTGATAAAGGTTTTAAACTTTTAACAAACTCTGAACAATATTTCTTATGTTATCTTTTTCACAGACTTTAAATAAAATAAGTTGGTGATTTCCTTTGGATTCACTCAGGATACAAACTACACTGGAAAACATGTGTGTGAAACAAATGAACGACGGCTTGAACGGGCAAAATGGCGCTGTTTCCGTGGCCAGTCCAGAAGGAGAGGCTGCGTGTCTGTCGCCCGTGTATTTTGATTTACATGAACATGAACATTATTCAGGAGCATTCCAAAGGAAAAAGATGTGACTCATGATTGAAATCAGTCAGCATAGCTGTGCAGATATTTTCTGGCTTTCTATCTCTGGCTTTGTCCTCCTTGATAACAAACCCACCGCTCTGTATTCCTCACGGGAAAACCATCAGTAAGCTGAGGAACAGTTCAAATAAAGGTTCATCTGTGCGAATGAAAAACTTTTCAGCGTAAAATGCATTACTGAAGACCAACGTTGTAGTTTCACCGTTCAACTAGATTTTCTTTACGTTTTTAATTTGCCCCCAACAATGCAAAAAAACAATTAAAAAAATAATACAATGTTTTGGGTTTTTGAGAAACTTTTTCAGCCTTCTAGGCCGTATAATTACAACAAAAACCTAGTGTAAACCTTTTGAAAAACAAAAAAACAAAAGCAAGCCAGGTCAATCGTTATTTCTCCCAGAAAAACACAACAATAATGGAGTTAAAAAGACGTCTCACCGCATTGAGAAAGATCCCCACAAAGAAAGAACAAGCCGCTACAGCCAAACATTTGGAGGAGGATTTAATTACCTGAGCTGCTACAACGCCGGAAACAGAGACTCACAGAGTGGAAAAACAATTAGGACATCCTCATTCCACAGCATGCCAGAGTGCCTGTGTGTGTGTGTGTGTGTCGTAATGTGAAACCTGCCTAAGAGGTCGATAAGGCTATCGGATCGAGACAGTCCTGTGATTATTGTGTGTCTTCGTCTCTGCGTTGTGTTTGACTAAAAGCAGAATCAGATGCTGCCAGCACACACGTGTTCACACAAACACATACATGCACCACAGCTCTCGTAAGGCATGACAGTTCTATTCCCGTGATTGTAAGAGGGAGGTTCACAGATGAAGGAAGTTACATAAACTGCAGATTACAGAAAGCCCATTTAAGCCAAAATACATAGAAAATGAGCCAATTTATAATTGATTAGTTAGGTCTGATGAACAGTCGGTAAACTAAACTAAGCCAGGAAGTGAAGGACAAACAGGTAGTGAAATTAATTTGAGTTCATGCAAGTCGTCACAAACTAATAATAATCACAAACTAATAATAGATAGAAACCTGAAGGAGGAAACAGTCTTTGATGTTGAAGGTCTTGTGCTTCCTCATGTGTTCCTTGGCTCGATCCCAATCTGCAGCCTTACGGACTGAGGCGCCCCGCTCACTCCGTGAGGGTTTACTGCTTTCCCATTGTTACTGTTGAGGGCTTTTTGGCAGACATGTTGAGCCCTTTATGAACTCGTAAGTCAGCATCTAATGCTGACTTACGGAAAGGGAATTACCCACAAGTCATTGCAATGTGTAAAACCAGTGAAAGCATGGAAGTAAACAAAGGGGGGCTCTTCTGTGTCCAGACTGTCATCAAAAAATGTACACATCTGATGGAATTTATTCACTTATTTATATAAATAACTTATATTTATTTAACGTATTTAAAATAGCAATTTAAAAAAAACTATGAAATAAGTCTTACAATGGTAAATCCTATTTTTTCTGTGTTGTCAAGGTAACATGACATTTGGCAGCAAAGTGCTGTCCCATTCCTATTTACACAATTTAAAGCCCTCACAGTCTCACACTCAACCATTTACCAGGAGAGTCAGTTGAGCCGTTGAGGGTTCAGGGCGTCCGTGTCAGATGAGAAATGAATAAACTCAGCCAGATTCTTGCAAGAGTAACTCTATTTTCTTGTTTTCTTTTTCTCCTGCAGAGCGTCAGGACAAGACTGCTAACATTTATTTTGATCAAATACAGGCACAGACTCTGGTTACGTGTGGTTCCCGTATGAAGGAGCATCAACCACGTGGCTCATTGATGTGTAAATATCTATGACACAGAAAATCAGGGTATCAGGCTTTGGATATTCAATACATGTGTTAGTACATTGGGTTTTGTTCTTTCATATAAAAACATATTACATGAGTAGATTGGAAGCATTTGTTGTTTGACTGATTTTATGCACTCTAGGATTACCGGAGTCCATAGCTGATAAGGCTCCAGCTCATTATTCATATTCACATCATTCACATGAGCATTGTCTGTCCTTCTGCTTAGCGCTCTGCTGCTCAGTCGAGCTGCACGTGATCGTAAAGAGGAAGGTTATAACTGTAACAACACGCGGTCTGCGGGATGGAAAGACAGCAGAAGCTCACTGCGTTGTTGTCTGCTGTGTTGTCCTTTGAAATCTGGGTGCTTATCTTTGTCCTGTGACAACACAAAAGGCTGTCAACGTTTAGATCTCTTTCAGGTAAAGCAACGGGATATAAAGGAGAGCAACACACACGCAGAATCAGACACACGGCATGATGCATGATCATCTTCAGAATCCCTTCCACAGAAGCACAGAGACTGGAACAGAGTGGAATTTGAAACGTTTTCGCCAAAAATGTTTCCATCGTCAAGGTGTTTTTTGCAGAAACGTTTCAGATTTCGTTTTGTTCTCCAACTTCGTTGATGAAGACGATCAACCGGCTCCAACTGGAAAATGCAAAATACACACACGCAAACGGTTCTAGCTACTCGTTATGATTTGAGGCTTTCATTCAACAGGTATTCCTGATAACAAAGAAGCCATTGTGCTTATAGGATTCGCACATACAAACGCACACTTAGAAACATTGCTCAATGTGAGAAAATCTCCGCTTTTTCTGAAGACACAATCTTTGCTCTTTTGACCAGTGATTCGAGAAATGTGAAAAAAGAAGCACAGTTGTACATTTCGCACAGTGTTTGCTTGTAGTCATCATCATGTTGGTTTTTCAATGCTGCGAAAACTAAAGTCAAATCAAAGGTTGGAGCATTCCGTGAGCTTTTCTGTTAACTCGGGCAATTGAATGAATTCACAAAAAAATGAATCTATCCTCCCTTTTGGAGGATAGATTCATGAGGCTCTGGCATTGTGAAGGTCCACCGTTCTCCATGTGAGTTGTAGTGTGAAAAAGTCTGTCAGGGATGGGTGGAGGAGGCAGGACTCAAACGCAGACTTCTTAGAAAGCAAAAGACTTTAATAGTCAAAAGGCAAAAGCAAAAGGCCAAAAACACACAGGAACCAGGGGGAAAACCGGCAGACAGGAACTACGAACATCCACGACGATAGACAATGACGCGACAAGTGACACAAGAGACACACGGCTTAAATACACAATGGAGGTGCAGGTGATTGGACACAGGTGGAAACTATTAGACAATCACAGGGGATGACGGGACAAGGCAGGAAGTGAAGTTACGCGGGGACACGAGTGGCAGAAAACTACAAAATAAGACAGGAAGTGAACCACACCGTGACAAAGTCTCTCACCGTCTCACGATTTTTGATGTGTTTTTGTTCTGTTCATTGACTCTTCATATATTCAGTATATTATTCTGTGTCAGATGCATTTCAAACAACCATGTACACACACACACACACACACACACACACTAACAAGCTTCTCCCTATCTTGTGTAGGCAACGCGGTGAGAAAGGGACGGGGCCGCCTCATGTGTCGGGGCTCCGCTGTGTTCTGGTCCCCACCAACCCACACCCTCCCAGCGTCAGTGGGATGTCCCAGGTGCGTCTCCTCTTGGCCTTGCTGATGCTCTGCAGCTGCCCAAAGGTACGTCCCGCACCCTCTCTCGCTCTCTTTTGCGCACACCCCAACTACTTTTACTAAACTTAATCTTGACGCTTCCTCCTGAAGGTTTCCTGCACTAACTCCTTGGAGCTCTTGAAGGAGCAGTGGAGCAGCTACAAAAACCAGTGCCTGGACTACCACTTCGCCACGCCCCCCGCCAGAGGTGAGCCCCAACCCCTGCAGCCTGTAAAAAGCCTGAAGCTTCACCTGCTGTACGACAAGAGCACCCATTTCACAGATCGACTCCCCACTGCAGGGCTGGTGTGTAATCGGACCTTTGACCTGTACGCCTGCTGGCCCGATGGACTCCCAGGAACCACTGTCAATGTCTCCTGCCCATGGTTCCTGCCATGGTACCGTAAAGGTAAAGTAAACCTCACAATTTATGCACCAATTGGCGTATAAAGTGGAAAAGGGTGCAAATACATGGAGCGCTTTGAAGCAAAATCAAAAATCGTGTGAATCCAGAGCTCATATTCATCACACCTTAACAAGAAGTTGTAGGTTTCTTAACGTGCTATTGTTAGAAGATCTGAGACATGCGTGGATACAGCGCCCATCCAGGTACTGTGAGAATAAACGAGAATGAGCCCCGCAAAGTGCTCTCAATTACGTAAAGTAATTTGAAGCAGGGAACTGAAAAAACGTTGTAGTTACCACACATCTCTGCGTGCCGTACGTCCTTGACACTCAGTGGGAAGAAAATAAATGCTGCTGAATAGCGAGTGCAACAGTCTCGGGGAGTGACTCAGTGTGTTTACACGATGGTATAATTAAAATCTTTGCTTAGTCGGACTATGCTCTCTTTCAGGGAAAGTGCTATTATCCCAATATACATGGCAGTGAATAAATCGAATCATTGGCCGAAAGCATGTCATATCCGATACGATAGGTGGCGCTGGTTTCATTACAACTAGTTGTGATACAGCCATTTGCGCTTGACCGCTTCACCAACAACAACCAACAACAACAACATCAACATTACGAGTAAGATGGCGAACGGAGAGCAAGGTGAAGCTACAACTCTCTACTATTTGTGCATGATGTTAATAGGAGCACAGCGAATGCGAATGGCGCTGTTGGCTGATTTGATAACGGAGAGAAGACGCAGTCGAGCTATCAACTGGATCGGATTGAGTTATCCGGGTGTGTTAGTCGGATCATAGTCGGACCGCACACAGTCGGACAAAGGTGTTTACATGAAACGGATAATTCAATTTCAGTCCGACTAAGCCAGTTATTCGAATCCATGTAACCACGCTGAGTGAAGCATGTGAGGGCCACAAACATGGGCAGCTGTCACTCAACTATCTTCCCAGAAGTGGTGTGAAGACGTCACACTGTGTCTCCGGGGGCAGAGAACGTGTCCCGTTGAGCTTCCTGAGACAGTTTGGCTTGGTGTGCTTTGGTCTCAGATCGATAGCAGCGTCGAGTCGTAGCAGCGTTTCCCTTCCGTTGGGGTTTTGTGTGTGTGTGTGTGTGTGTGTGTGTGTGTGTGTGTGTGTGTGTGTGTGTCTTCAGCTTTCTTCGGGGGGTTCGGAGGCAATGATAAGTGTGAAAGTGAGCTAGTCTCTTTTCTCTCTTGCAGATTAGCGGCCTGGCAGGGGCGATCTTTCCGTCCTCACAGATGGGGACAGAGTGCACACAAACACAGTTTAAAAACACAAACACAGTTTATTCAAGTGTTAAAGTGTGTGTGCTTCTGCGTGTGTGAACAACGGTTTAACTCAGTTATATCTTTGGATTTGTCAAACAAAATAAAACATTTGAAGGTGTGATCCTTTGGATCCGGGAAGATTACAGATGATCCTTGTCTGGAAAGTTGTTAACTTTGATCTAACTACATCTCAGAAGTAATATTGTATTTTTACCCAAGGGGTTAACTAATGGAAACAGGATGTGTAACTTGTAAACTCTAAAATAGCTGTTTATTTTTCTCTTTTTAAGTCATCTTTTGTTTGTCTTTTTGCTCTACTTAGCTAACGGCTGCATGCCATAGCTTCATATTTGCCGTGGATGTGAGAGCGGTATCAATCTTTAATTTCTGCAAGAAATTGAATTGGCATTTTTCACCTTCATCCAAGCTCTGCTTCCTTCACGGAGCTTTAGTGAAATAAACTTGTGTTTCGTAGGCGAAGAACATTGATGATAATCACCAGAATGTCATTCAAAATGTATTGTCCTACAAATGTCCGTGAAGCGTGTGAACAGTGGGGATACGCATGCATGGAACTGTAAAATGTCTCTAACGTGAGTCTCTGTGTGAACAGTTCAGCAGGGTCTGGTCTACAGGTTCTGCAATGAAGAGGGTCAATGGGCGCAAAAGAATACCAGTGAATGTGAGGACGAACCTGGTGAGGTGTGTGTTATTTACAGTTATTTTTGTCTGTGTGTTGTGTGTCTGTGTAACGCTTCTTGGACTGGCAGATTGTGATCCCATATTGTGGCGATGACTTGACACTCTGACTTGACTTGATCTGAAATGACTCAGCGTAGGAAAATCCTCCCATCTGTTCAAATTCTCTCTAGTGTGTGTGTGTGTTTGTGTGTTTGTGGATGGGTGTGTGTGTGTGTGGAGGTGGATGGGTTGGTGGGTGTGTGTGTGTGTGTGTGATGGAACCATCTGACTCTTCCCCTCCTGTTGCTCCTGCAGCAGCAGCAGCAGTATGGCCGCATCCTGAACCAGCTGCGCATCATGTACACCGTGGGCTACTCCCTCTCGCTGGGAGCTCTGCTACTGGCCCTGGGAATCCTCATCTCCTTCAGGTACGACATGCAGGAGGACTAAACACAGGAGTGGAGAGGAAATGAAAAAAGCAAAGGAATGATTCAATAAGGACAATGAGAAAAAGGAAAGACAACCAAGAAACGAAGAAAGGAGAAAAATGGGAATATGGAGGACGAAATAGGGACAGATTATAAGATGAACAAAACAATCAATTAGATAAAATAATAAAAGTAAGGAGGTGATAGGATAAAAAAGGTTTGGGAATGTTTAGACACATTCAAATGAAGAAGATGGAACAAGAAAGGAGGGACAGGAGGGTGTAAGGATGGCAGGAGTAGAGAAAGTAAACAAGGTGGAAGGAGAGAGTCGAGAAGGAACGACTGTAAAGAACAATTGATGAGAGCAGTCCCGTTGTGTGAAAACAGCATACACAAAGCCGTCACTCACACCGTCCCTCGTGTGCACCAGGAAGCTCCACTGCATGAGGAACAACATCCACATGAACCTGTTTGCCTCCTTCATCTTGAAAGCCGTGTCCATCCTGGTCAAAGACGCCCTGCTGTCTCTCACACTGGACCCCAGGAGCAGCGCTGACAGCCGGACTCAGGCCTGGGTCAACATACCGGTCAGAGCAAATGCACCACGTCAGCCTCGCGTGCCATGAGTTGTGTTCTTCCACCGCCTTTTAGTACTATTAATACTATGGCTATTTAATACTTTGCACCGTTCATGGAACATACATTGCAATGGCAAAATAGTGCAAGCAACTTCTTATTGTGCCGAAGAGGAGAAGGAGCTTTTCTTCCACAATTTTTGTTGAACCCCTCTTCCAGTAATTCATGTTCTGGGCCCAATGTAATTTACTTTTAATTTAGTTCCATTGACTCTCTTCTTGTTACGCTGGAGCAATACACACCACATCTCATACAAAATGCTGCAAAGGGCATTGTGTTTGCATCGGTTAGCATAAAGAACAAGCAAGAAGCAGCTAAAAGGTTGTTGTAAAGGTGTGCCGGGTTGCTTTTGTGTGAGGTAAAGACTTCCCGTAAAAGACAGCCGGCCTTGTCCTTGGACTGGTGTCGTCAGCAGGGGTTGAGTGTTTTTTCTTTGTGCGGGCGTCAAATTTGCGACTTTTGTACCGTCGGAGAAGCGGTAACCTTGTCTTGTTGTTTGCGTCCACGCCACCCCCGCGCTGCCTGCGCCCTGTGTCAGGCTGTCACGTGGTGCCGCGGCGCCGTGGTGATGATGCAGTACAGCGTGATGGCCAACAACTACTGGCTGTTGGTGGAGGGCATCTACCTGCACAGCCTGCTGGTCATCACCGTGTTCAGCGAGAGGAAGTACTTCTTCATTTATCTGGCCATCGGCTGGGGTGAGCTCACAACTCCTACACGGCGCGAATACGTTTGGCCCATTTAGCAATTTGGGTTGTGATGTTAAAGCAGAGATTTCAGCCAGAGAGAGTTAACAGAGAAGTTCTCAGGATGATTCCATATGAGCCACATATACCTTAACATTCTATCGTATAACAGACTGAAAGTGAACGGGTACTTAAAAAAGGTGAGTAATTGTTAGTAATTGTTAGTCTACCTCATACTGATTTCACTATAGAGAAACGTTCATAAGCCTGAGTTTACCTGTTTTGTTATTGTCTGTTATTATCTCTAAATAATAAATTCTTCATAATGCTCATAATAAGCTTGCAGCTTACTATTCTGAGATGATAATTTAATAACAACGCTATCTTGAGAATTCAAACATTGATTTCCGTGATTATGAAAGTCCTCTCAGAGCGGAGATAACAAATAACGGTCTTGTCACATTATTAACTGGATTATCCAATTGAAGTTATTGATGCTAGTGAGTCTTTGCCGCTCCACAGAGCAAAGAAAGAGGCCGGGTTCATGGAAAGATTTGAGTCGTCATCGTGTCAGAGAGGAATATTAACGTTTGAGTGGAGATATTGAGATTTTAAACTGATCTCATGAATGATTTGAAATAATATGGTAAAATGACGTCAGCCTGCAGCACATGATAAAACTTCTGGGTGAAACGTTTTTTATTTCTCACAAAGTGTTTCTCTCTTGACTTTCACACTCTGTCCTTCGCAGGTGCTCCGCTCATGTTCGTGTTACCGTGGATCACGGTGAAATATCTGTATGAGAACGAGGAGTAGGTTCCTCGTAATAATATTTCAGGGTTATGTTGCCACATACAAATGAAAGACGTAGCAGATTGTTTGACTGGGAGTTGTGACAGTTTATGCTATGATGTACAACAATAAGGTAAAATGTGTGTGTGTGTGTGTAGGTGCTGGGAGAGGAACATCAACATGGGATACTGGTGGATCATCCGTTCTCCCATTGTGTTCGCTTATCTGGTAAAACTGTCTTTTTTACTTTTTCTACTTCTCGGATCTTGGTGAAAACACCGCTTCACCAAAGAGTTACACCTCTTTTCATAGTTTCCCAGCATTCATTTATGTTCACCAGTAACGTAATGATCTGTCCTCACTGGGGGCAACAAACTGATTCATGAATTAATACATGACTATTTGTCAGGCTCTTATTGCAGTGCAATAATAACAATAACTTCATTCCCTCCCATATTAAAATCCAGAGTTACCCTAACTGAATATGATTAATTCACTGATATATATACAATTACAATACAATACAACAATTACAACATACAATATACATATATGTATAAAGCAGCAAAGAATGCTTTTTTTGATCTAGTAATTCTTTTACAGTGTAGTTTTTATTTGAGTAAATAACTGTGGCTGAAGTCATTAGCACACGTTTGAAGATTTTAATAATGTAAAAAAAAAAGGACACGTAATATTTTATTTGGTTTCATTTAACAGTCAGAGGCTTGCAATGAAAAGCCTTACGGTTAAAGTTTAGAAAAAAATCAAATTTTTTTCTTAAAACACTATTTAGAAACACTGTTTCTAGATCAAACTAATCAACTTCTTTAAAGTTAAAATCTAATTTGAACTCCTGTATTCATCTACATTGATGTTCCCGCCCTCACTAACACACACACACCGCCTTAAATACAGAAATAAATAGTGGGATCCCACTTGTGTGTTTCCTGCCTCTAGTTCCCATAGAGACAAACAGGATTATGTATGAACACACTTGTGTGCACAAGTGCACAGTAACAGTAGCAACCTTTGTGACCTGAAGCAGAAGCGTACGTGTGCTCACACACATACGCTGAAATATTCAGAAAAGCCTCGTGTGTTTCCTGGACTGTGTAAGTCACACGGTTTGTTCCCTTTGGAAACATTCTCTTTATCGCAATCTCTTAGATGCCGTACGGTTGTGTAACGTTGTATGTCATCCACCAGCAATGACAAACACAACCCCGCGGTTCATCTGTTGTTCACACACGCAGACACACACACACACACTCACATCTACACAAACACAACTGTCAGGTCAACATACACACGTTACCAAATTTGGAGCGCTTATAACTTGAGTGCCGTAATAATGAATGCTCTCTGTCATCGAAAAGGGTCTGCCTTATATCACTGTGTGTGTGTGTGTGTGTGTGTGTGTGTGTGTGTGCAGACAGCTCTAATCCATCAGAGAACAGAAAGACTGAAGATGTCTCTCTACTAAACATTGCTTCTTCTGAATATCTGCGGAACATATTTTGCATGTTCTTTTTGCATCATTTAACTCCCTCGTCTTCTGATTTCAGATCAACTTCTTCATATTCATACGAATTATCAAAATCCTGATGTCTAAACTCAGAGCTCATCAGATGAGATACACTGACTACAAGTTCAGGTGAGTCTTACCTGAATTGTGTTACCTGAGGGGAGGAGGTGAAGGACCTGTGCATAACCTCTCTGTTTTTTCGTAATATAGATTAGCAAAGTCCACTCTGACCCTAATTCCTTTGCTCGGGATCCACGCCATCCTCTTCACCTTCGTCATCGACGAGTCCGTCCCTAAAGGCTCCATGCTGCGCCTCATTCGCCTCTTCTGTGACCTGCTCTTCAACTCTTTCCAGGTCAGAGCTCAGCTTCACATAAACGTGAACTTGCATATTCATTGTACCAACTCGAGCTGATCAATATAGTCATGTTTCCCCAATGTTTTCTCACTTTATCTCTTTTTTCTTTTTTTCTGGGCCATAGTTATCATCTATTACCCTTTGTTTCTACTGCATTATTTCTGATTAATCTATAATAGATATTCCACATAAAAGCGGGGATATGCTTTGAGAAACCAGCAGGAGTAAATTATATAATTATTATAAGAGTCGACCAAATTAAAACTGTGGGAGGGGGGCAACTTCACAAGCACCCATATTTTTATTGGATTTGGATCACATCAACTAAATTCAATGGTATATATTTGATCAAAATTTGAATTAAAAAAAAATGAATTTGCCCATATGTAGAATAAATAGATACAATGGAAACATACACAAGACATGTCTCTGTTAAGACTGTCCACCTGTCTCTCTATGGTCACCTCCGTTCGTTGGTTGCAGAACAACAAGATGGTTAAGGCCAAAATGTCAGACAGACGCTTGAAAACCTCCGTCCACAAACTAATGGGGGATGTCACGTTGACTGCGTCCATGTCTTATATACAGTTTATGGGGTCATGCATATACTGTGTATTAATAAAATAACAACGATGAAATACTGTCCACGGACCAAGCATTGACAGTTGACTAGTTGGGGCTGAGTATCTGGAGGTTGGGCATCGTCAGCATCGCTAACAGCATCCAACTCCTATAACGAGGTGCAGCAAACAGAGGGCTTATAACACTCCTGCAATTAAGACATAGAAAATCTATTTATTTTTCTTAATTGATTCATTAATTGTTGGGACTGTTGGGATGATGATAAATATATTGTTGTGTTTCATCCACTTCATATTCTTTTTCTTTTAAATATTTCAGCACAAAAGAATGAGCAATACATGCATATGGAGCGAACCACACATGTAGAAATGGCAGAAAAAATGCACTCACACTTTTCCTGTAAACACACGTTGTTTACATCCAGTGTTACTGACCAAAACACATTGTGTGTATCATAGAGATTTAACCAACGTTCCGTTATCTATACGCATAAAACATCTGCAGAACTTATCGTTTTGGATAATTATTAATCTGTGAAAGCAGTATTTGCCACCAGTAAATCAGTTGTGGACCTAAACTAGCGATACATTTACATGAACAGTGGGCAGCGGTGTGCTATGGCGCTTTCATGTGTTTTGAATTAAGGACTTTCTGGACAAGAATGGAGTTCCATGACAAAAAGGCGAAAAAGATATCAGGGTATTTTTGGATAATAGTGAAAAGATTACATATTTAGAGGGGTGCCCAGTTTCTTTTCCATGTCTGTGGGAAATGTTATACCTCCGTCTTCTGTTTCAGGGACTGCTGGTGGCCATTCTGTACTGCTTCGTCAACAAAGAGGTGAGACAGATGTGCTCTCACGTCAAGCACAACCTTAATTTAATCTCTGCTCTTGCTGCAGTTCCTTCCTTTCCCTTTCGTAGAGACGATAAATTAGACATTATTCATCATCAGTGTTCCTGTGTGCAGCCGTTATCGGGCCTCTTATATCTTTGAAAGCTCCTCCTTTGTTCATGTTCCACTTTAATCTTTTGTCTACGAAATGGGACAGACGCAATGTTGTCGGACTACAATCTCTAAACTTTTAGATGTTTGGCAAGAGAGCAAGTCCATCTAACGAAGTGCTCTGTGTCTTATTTAATCTTCCTCCCAAATCTCTACGGTCCCACTATCCATCAGGTGCAGTCAGAGATGCTGAAAAAGTGGAAGCGGTGGAAGCTGGGCAAGGACATCGACGAGGAGTACCGCCACACCCATAGCCACACGCCGCACATCAGGGGCGGCAGCATCGCCGTCGGCAACCCCCCCTATCCCAATAACACCGGCGACTCGCCACGCCTCGACAAAGCTGGCCGAGACCCCGCCGCGCCCGAGGAGAACCGCCGACTCGTTGTCTGCTACAGCAACGGGACGGGGAAGGGAGGGCAGGCCAAGAGCGGACGCGCCCTGCGGTTCTCCTTCCTGCCACGGCGAGGCGCCGGCAGTCGCGTGAGCACCACCACACAGGACGCCTGCCTGGAGGAGAGTGCGCAGCGCGGGTCGCACCCTCTGGAAGGAGAGGAGACTAATGTCTGAGGACGACGTGCCTCGAAGGCCCGAAAACTCTCTCTGATTGAGCCGATTGTTGTTTCAGATCAGTGTTTATTGTGGGGCGACAGGGCGGCCGGTGTTGGAGGAGATCCCACGATGATCAGGGTGTTTAAACCCGCCCAGCTGCAAGTTCATATTTATTCAAAATGGGCTGTTGATGGAAAATGCACTTATTGACTTGATACATTTGGAATGATAAAACAGAGTGTGTGTGTGTGTGTGTGTGTGTGTGTGTGTGTGTGTGTGTGTGTGTGTGTGTGTGGAGGACTGCTGTATCGACACCTTTGAGATGCAAAGATTAAAAGACACACCTTTCGTAATGCGGCCTCGTGCCGTTCTAGTTGTGAGTCACGCTTGTGTTGTTTGTCTGTTTGCAGCATTGGATGCTTTGTGGTGCATTCCCAAAAAGAAAACTCTCAAAAGTGTCAATTTTTTTATTTATTTTTCTTCTTGGATACATGAGACTGAATGTGGACTTGACCATGAGTGACTCGGGATGTCGTGTCCATCAGGCAGGACTGAGTATTCTGTGTAATATGTTTTTGTTCTGTTTTTAAATGGACAGAGCCAAACAAAAAAATAATAATATACCAAGACTTTGCCTCAAATCCACTATTTCATGCACCTTCCTTCTTTCCTTTTTTTGGCTTCTTTGAGCAGCTTCGCCTGACTGAATGTTTGTGAACAACCGAGAAATATTGTTGTAACAATATTTAAGTGTATTTATGTAAATAGAAATATGTCAACACCACTTACATTTATCCAATGTCAAAACTTCTCCCTCCACATATATTTAGTCAATTGGATGAAAATCAGAATTTGTCCATTTTAGTAGTTTTACAAACTAAAGTAGCTCCAGGTCACCAATCATCGTCTTGCTCAGTTCTGCATCGTGTCCACACGGCCGGAATACTATTATGTACCAGAAAAGGTTTTAGTCTCATGATATATCGAGTGGATATGTTTTTTTGAAAAGAGCACCACTGAGGAGCCACTGGATTATTTATTTTATTTTGTTTCTTCCCTGGATTGGATCAGGACAAATGTGCCACACAGAACCCTCTTTAAAATCTTTGATTAAGAAAATAATTAGTCATTTTAGAGACACAGGACAGCAAACGTGGATTCCATTATTCCCAATGCATTTATCAAGGATTCTACCCAAATATTCAGTTTGTTGTGTAAGAGACTATTGTCTGTCTATATTGGTAAAAGTGAATTTTGGTATTATGTACACATTACGTAGGGGGCGAGGGATGTGTTGTTGTACTGTGTATTTGCTTGCGGTTCATGTGACTCGAAAATGAGAATAAACATGACACCATACATGATACAAAAAACGTGTTTGTCCTTCTATTTAAAGGGTTCCAATTATCAGCATGCGCCCAAAGCAAATAATATAATGCGAGAAAGGAAAAGGTTTTAACATGAAAGCCAAATGCTCGTCTCTCCTATTTCTTTGTGAACCAATTTGAATAGAATTCTGCTGAAAGAAAGTTTGAATGTATTGTGCGGATTCGACATATGAGAGATATTAGTGTCGGTCATCCACAGTGAGTCTACACGATGTGAGCTGACGGGCTTTTGAGCAATCTGTGAGTGTTTCAAGTAGAGCAAGTAAAAAGTCTCCATTGATGTTTTCTGGCGGCTGTAACAGCAGAAATATTGCTGACCGGAGGAACATGTTTCAACATTGGTTCAAATATTAAACCAATAAATCAAATACATGCATCTGTGTGTGCACTGCATTTATCTCACATCACAGTTGACTGCAAAGCCCATCAGTGGACTTCCAATCAATCAATACACAAGCTTCCATTGGAAACGACCGCAACCGGAAAGTATAATGACTAATGTGTGCTGTCGCACAGAGGATAATACGTTCTCAGCTCATGAATTATGTATTGGTGTGTATGTGTGTTGTTGTGATTGAAAAAACAAAAAACGTCTCTTTCCGTTGTGCTTACAGAGTAGATAAAACGATGGAGACAGGTATCTGAACACCATATGCGTATAGAGTATACAGAATAAGTTCACTATGCAATAGAGACATTTGATTCAAAGAGTTTGACAGGTTCTAGAAATACATTTCTATAATAAACAATACCATCTAGAAATCAATATGTATTTGATATAAATGAATGCATTCAAGGTTCATGATGATGAATCTTGAATCATCAGTTATTAATAAAGTAAATATATACATGTTATTCCTCTTTAAGAGTAAATGACGTGTGTGAACTTCGAAGGTCTGTGTTTAACTATATTTTTACCTTTGTTGTGTTCAGCCTCTCTAACGTCAGCTTTGTGACAGACACAAGGCTCCGTCGACTTCTTCGAGTTCTTTTCATTAAGATTTCATGCACACAACATTACAATGAATCTCCAAATTCCCTTTAACTTGCTTGGCCGTTGACTGTTTAAAGGCAAGAATCGTGTGCGATGACTCGCAGCGCACACGATTCAATTTGAGTGAAAACTTCATATTCATGTTTGATTACGTAACTCTGAAAGAACAGAATGTAAGCTTAGTGGATACAACAAGGGAAGCAATGCATCTCCCAACAGCCTCCCTGCGTAACGTCAGTGCAGCTGAAGGCCGATCGTGACGACAGTGAAGGTACATTTCCCTGCATCTTGATCCTACAAAACCTCTATTTTAAGGACTGACATATTATTTTAACTACTTGGTTTGTGATGCTCAGAGTCCACCGGAAGGATGGTGGAAAACCCATTACGCAACCACAGGGTCACTGAAAACCTATTACAGTGTTCAAACATCGTCCACACGTCCTCTGTAAAACTCCCCCTCTGGATCAATCTGTTGAAACGTCTGAGGAGTAAATTCAGCCAATCGGGAAGACGTATTGCAGCCATACTGTGAAAAAGAAGAGGACCTGTAGTCTTGTGTATTCGAGTTCTTTACAGTCCGTCCAGTATGAGGCTTCTCTCGGTTTCAGTCCGCCATGAGTCTCTGGGGCGTGAATGTGGAGGGTGAAGGTGCGATGGAAAGGAGCTCTGTCAGATCCACACTGCTGCGTAACGTTCATCAAAGCAAAGGCCACCATAATAACTGGATGAATTATTAAATACTGTATATAATTTAATATTCGCTGGATAATTATTGAAAAGCTAAATCAAAATTTTCCCTGACCTTCTGTGATGTGGATTTGGTTGGAGATTTCCAGTTTCATCATCACGTGTGTGTGTGTTGCAGTGTCAGTGTGAGCTCTGTCTCATCCTGACTTCCTGTGAGCTATAACTGGACAGGAAGTTGTATACATGCGCCACACGAAGCCAGGAGACTTTTATTTTGGGATCAGGACAAAAACAGCTGAGAACAATGACGTGACGGCGGAGTCGCGCGGTGAAGACATCAGTCAGCCGAGACAGGTCTATTGTAGAAAGCACTTGAGGCCGACAACAGGCAAAGACTGGGTGAGGTTCAACCGACCAGCACAAGTGAAGTAAGCGGAAACAACATTGTTGGCGTCCGTGCGAACAGCCAGCGAGCGCCTGCGTTTCTGTGGCTGCATTTCACAGTGTAAAGAAAAATGAGCACAATGAGCTAATGCAATTCGGTCCGCGATCATAATCAGGTTCTTAGTACTTCATTCCTTCCCTTCATGCACAGAGGTACTTACACCCAACATTTCAGAGATTTGATCTTCCCCGGTGTTTCTTTAAAGCACCCACATCATGCTGCTGTAACTTTAATCCACCGACAAATGTGAGCCTCCATCCTGTCAAATTTCAAATCAACTTCAATGCTGGAAAGTATGTACTTTATTTAACATGTTTCTTTTTTGGCAGTTAACTGATCTTTCACTGGACTGAACATCTGGACTGTGAGTCCACAGGCCGGCCTGCATTGCCACAGTGGTGGTTTGAGGTAAAGTGTGCAGCAGGTGACCGTAACCATCAGGCTCATGATGTCAAATGGTCTGTGATTAGACATGAGAGGGTTTAAAAGCAAGCGTCAACATGCTGACGTGCGACGATGAAATGCAATAACACAATAACGATGATGTGGATGTGTTGATGTCGTGTGATGCGGTACTTGTTCACCACATGAGCTCAGCGAGGTAGCAGGCTAACTACTTTTGCTAAAAAAGCACAACATTTTGTCAAAAATTGACCGGATGCTGAGGAACAATCTGAGGATTACCAAAGTGGTTAATTTATTTAATCGAACAGGACGTACCAATGTCAAAATAAAAAGAGCTGATTTCTTTCAAATCAATTATAACATTTTACGGCTTGGATGAGTTTGAAGTAAACACATGCTGTTTGAGCTCTGAAGCTCCGAAATATATTTAAATTGTTTCTGACTTATAGTAGGTGTGGAACAAGAACAAAGCCTTTGACAGATTTTGAAGCACAATCTGCATTCATCAGATGTCTGAGTTCCATGTGAAGGGGTTTGAACTGTGGACCCTACGTTTCACTTTGACAGTGTTTAAGTTGTTCTGGCTAAACTTTCACCGTCATTTTTCAACATTTCCTGCGTATGGAGCCCCCTGAAGAGCCATCGTCCACGCGTACCTCAACGACACTGGTCCTGCAGGCCGTGTGCCCGACACACAGAGGAGATGACGCCTCATTAAGGCCTTCTCGCATGTCGCAGCAATAGAAGGGGACACAGATAGGTGGGGATTTATTCCCCACTTGGCCCGGACCTCCATAGCTGCTAATGACTTGTCAGCTCATCTGCCAGAAAAATGCCTCTGCTGCACCTCTTGCGAAGTGAAATGATTTCTACTTGACCCTGAGTCAAACTAACTATAGACTCTGTGTCTTGAATAACCTTGTCTCCTCAGATGAGCTGCACTTCTCTCTTCATCTCGCACACATGTCCTGTGGAGTTTAATTAGTAAGAGTAAAGAGATGAGAACCAAAAAAAACACAGCAGACGTTGATTGATGTTACCAGTGATTTGCCAAATGACAGCGTGTGTAAGGACTATTCAAGTATTGTTCTTTGCTGAACTTAAAATCACAACCATCACAAAATAGAATTGAAAAAAATCCTGAATAAACGGTGTGAGAACTGACTAATGAGGTCAAAGGAAGATGTGCGTTGTGTCCATGTGTCATTTTTGTTGGATTAAGTTTAGTACTTTTTGTGATTAACTCTTGTGAAGTTACCTTGTGAAAGTCAGTTGTATTTTCATAATTTATGACCAATACACACACATTCACACTTTTTTGATGTGAGTTAAATGCAGTTCACTCTGGGTACATTTGAACTGACTGACTTTTACATTTTACTAGTTAGTTAATAATAAAAGCTAATAATATGGTGCCTGAGTGTAATTACTCATCAGAAAAGGTATAATTACTTGAATATATCTTTAGTTGTTGAGCCCCATCAGAGGTCCCTTCAAACAATTGCAAATGTTCATTTTCCCCATATATTACATTATATTACATGTCATTTAGCTGACGCTTTTATCCAAAGCGACGTACAATAAGTGCATTCAACCATAGGGTACAAACTCAGGAGAACAAGAAACAAGAACGTGCAATTTCCTCAAATAAGCCAATTTACAATTTGCTATAGATGAGTGACTTTACAAGTACAATTTAAGTGCTACAATTTGTTAGTCTTTAGTCGAGGTAGAGTCTGAAGAGGTGTGTCTTTAGTTTGCGGCGGAAGATGTGAAGGCTCTCTGCGGTCCTGGTGTCTTCAGAGAGCTCGTTCCACCATTTAGGAGCAAGGACAGCAAAGAGTCGAGATCTAGTCGAGTGTTTTGCTCTCAGTGAGGGAGGGACGAGTAGTTTTGCAGATGCAGAGCGGAGAGTACGGGTTGGGATGTAGGGTTTGACCATGTCCTGGATGTAAGCTGGACCCGATCCATTCACAGCATGGTACGTGAGCACCAGTGTTTTGAACTGGATGCGGGCGGCCACCGGTTGTCACGCCTAATTGTGTTCACCTGTTTTCCCCTGTCTCCTCCCACACCAGGTGTTCCCTGTTTGTCAATTATCCCTTGGGCAAATAACCTGTGTCTTCTCCCTGTTCTTGTTGCCAGTTCGTCTTGTGTGTTTCACCAGGTCTTACCAGCGTTGTATCCCCGTAGTTCCCAGTCGATTCTAGAGATCCCCCGTGTACTGACCCCTGCCTCCGACAACGACACTGCCTGCCCGAATTCCTCTTCATTAAACCTTATTTCTCACATCTGCGTTTGTGAGCCAGTGAGGAGAGCGGAGGAGTGGAGTAGTGTGGGAGAATTCCGGAAGGTTGAAGACCAGTCGAGCTGCTGCATTCTGGATGAGCTGCAGAGGTGGAATGGCGGCAGCAGGGAGACCTGCCAGGAGCGAGTTGCAGTAG